AAAAGAGGAGCATAGAGTCTCCCAAAGTAAGTGGCGATTGTTCTCTAAGAGATACTCAAAAATTGCTGGCGGGGCATCCACTGGGCTATTATTTAGAACTTAAAGATTGGGTACCATGTGACTATATGTTTAGTAGTTACGCATAAGATGAGATTCTTGTTCGAGGATCCACTGTTCACGAGCAGAGAGAGTTGATTGAATACCTAAACGCGCACGCGCAGTGGACTCGTTGTGGCTGGTAGCTATCTAGCACTTCCCCAGTTCTGGCACTATTTTGTTGGTAACCTGTGTTGATCCGTTGCTCTTTTGTTGACGAGTTCTCTTGTTTTTAACTTTTCTTTTATATGATTGCAGACTCAGTAACAACTTTAGGTGAGTGTCAGACTGGTCTAGGCAGTCTCAATCAGGCCTGAGGTGATCAGTTCTAGTCCTGGTGAGCATTTTTTTATTGCATGCAGGGAAGCTCAAAAATCTTTCTTGTTTCTCAGTACGTCATGCAAAATCAAAATGAGCTGTGCTGGATTCAAATCCCAGATCATTCTTTATTGTCTGTTTGGGATTGTTGCCATTTGCTGTTCCCTTCTGCTTTTCTGGTGCCATGGTTTCTCTACCTTCTAACTTTCTATCTTGATACAAACATCTACTTTGGCCATTTCCAATGTGCTCTCAGAGGCCAAGGTCAAAATGCCAAACAGCGCAGCATTCAGAACACTTCGGCCACAGGCAAGGCTTAAATCAAGGACCTAAGCAAATCTCCATCCCTTATATATTTATTCCAAGACAATGGAACAAACTAGCTGTGTTTTCTAAGCAGCTAGTACCTGCTACTGTTGAAAGGAAAAAAAGGCAGCAGCCACAAGTCCCAGCTATGTCTGCAGAGGAGGAGCAAATGCAGAAAGATAAGTTTGACCGGTTCCTAACTATCAAATACAGAGTGGTGGCTGTTGGCACGCTTTTTGACCCATCAGGTAGTGGTGCCTACGTAATGAATAAGAGCCACCTAACTGATCTTCCCAAGGGGCACCCATGGACCCTCAAGAACATTGTTTTAGTGGGAGACAAAGAAGACGGTGCAATGGTACTCCTTGCGGTCTGGCACAATAAATACAAAATTCCAAGCCAGGTTCCCAAAGCCTCCACTGTGGTTGTCATCGATGATGACTTCCTGGCTGAAGTTAGAAAAATCAAAAGCCCTACCACCCAAGCCAGCATCAAGCACCATGGATCCAATGGACGATACTATGGCTATGGCTACAGAGAAATTCCCAAAGGCCAGAGCAATGTCAGCGAGCACGAGAATTTTAGTTCAGTCGGTCCCTACTCTGTCCGAAAAAACGACCAGGCGTCGATTGATCAGAATATGGACCATGAAAAAGTACTGGCCAGTGCCTTGAAGGATGCGACAGAGACGATCGGACATCTATTCAGTCGAACCAAAGGGCGCTGTGTTGTCAAGTCTGGCTGCATCATCAACGATACTTTGATCTGGGCAGCCCACAAGTGCAACTCCAAGTTGGAGAATGATTTGAGCTTCGTCGGCAGCTCATCTTTCCCAACCGTTTTGTTTTGCGTTTCTGCAGAAACCGAGCACTTCCATGCTGAATGTGACGTTAGTTATACGTTGATTTATGTGCCTGGGCAAGGCTGGTTCAAGGAAGGAGAAAGTGGCCGCTTGGAGATGCTGTTTGCCTTGGACGAAGATGGTGGTCTTGTGGATGCTGTACAGCTGGATATTGGTACATCTCTCTACTTCAGTGGATTCTTCCTTTTGCATCGCCAGAACCTAAAGGTAAGAGATGAGGTCTTCTTCAATGTTGCTGCCTATGGAAGCAAACCTCTCTACTATAAAGCCAAGAATACTATTTGGAGGAATATTGTTGATGTTGCCTTGGATGCTTGGATCAAGTCTCCCAGTAAATAAGTACTAAATAAGAATTAAAGCGATGAATGCACCTTAAATAACTATCAGTTCTACCATTTAAACCATAAACAAAAACAAAACCATACATAATGCTTTGTAAAACAGCTACATAAATCCATAGTTCCTGTCACCCTCGCTGTCAATCCAGGGCATCACTTCCACAACAGTCCTTCCCTGGCAAGCAGCAAATCATCACGTAGCTTCAAAGCAACCAACTGACCACCTGGCTTGTCTCATAGTACAAACATTACAGCTGTCCAACAACAAACTTGGTTAAGTTGTCAATCAGTGACTGAGGTCTGCCACAGTGCGTGACGGAATGCTGGCTCTCTAAATTTGTTGTGGCAATGGAGTCCCTTACGAATAACTGACCGACTTGTCCTGGTGGTAGCTGAGTGTTTAAATAGCACCGCAAAATCCTTATTTTCTTGGATGAACCATTCCTATCCATCAATCCTTGCGTTAGTGGGCTCATAAGTACTCTGTGATTGAATGGGACCGTCAGATCTACACTTCAGTTGCATTGAAAGTAGTAGTTTAGTTATCAACGATGTATTGAGAGATCAGTATTAGCAGTAGTTGGTCCACTTTGGTGTTCAGCTTTGGCTGTCCTCTTGTTGTGGGATGTGTACGTATCAGCTTTTCTGAGGGAAAAGTGAGGGCTGTTTTGCTCACTTTTTAGCCCAAGATTTGAGCTCACGCAGCCCATCTGAGACCAGATTCTGTCCACTAAGCAGGGTGCCTTACAAGAATAATAAATTTTAGTACTGTTTTAGTATACCTTGTTACACTGTATAAAAAATGTCACTGAGACCAGAGCTACTTAGGGAACATCAGTTGAGTCAGTTACCTGCCTTTGTAATTAGCAAAAACAGAGTACGTGCTGGTAATGCTGGTCTGAGGCTGAGCCCACAGCCACCTTTTTTGATCCTCTCCAGTCTTATGATAGATTAGTTTTTAGACTGTACCGGTAGCTACCTGGTACCGTACCGTACCGTACGGTACCTTGGCGTGGGTACAATGCCATTTAGGTTTAACCACGAATTGGAATCCCGTTTTGTTGAAAGTTGCCTCGACTGTCATTCGTTGATCATTAAAGCTTTCACGAGTCTGGCTGGCGATTATTGTCTTGCAGAGCCGTTTGGCAACTTCGGCATCAGCGCCCAAAAACCCGAAGACGCCACGAAACAACTCTTCCACAAATCACGTCTTTACTTACACAACCGCCTTGCCATTTATTGTCGAAGTCCTTTGCTTCCCTTTGACCTCTCGTCGTCCTTCGCTTCTCGCCGTACCTGGTACAGTACTTTTCATCGTCAACACTAGCAATGCCGTCTAAGAGCCTCAAGCTGAAGGTCGCCAAGGCGAAAGCCACCTTTGAAATGTCAAACGATCAAAAGGAGAAGAAGAAAGCGGCCGATTGGCTCCGGGAGCACCGTCTCATGGACGACAAGGGGGGGTTCTTTTTACCAAGCTCGTCTGTTCGGGCCAAGCCACCCAAAACTCAGAAGGCGCCGCCTGCCGAGCGACGCGAAGTGCAGTTCGAGCGCGAAGAGGCCTGTTCGCCAGTTCGAGATGCCTCATTGAAAAAGAAACCCGTTCGCGCCGCTACACCCTTTCACAAACCTCGCGCTTTACCACTTGAAGAAGATGAAGAGAATGACGATTTCGAACCCGTCGACGAGACATTGGCAGCTGAAGAAGAAACTTCCGAGGTCGAAGAGACCCGCGAGCCCAATGAATTCGAGAACGTGGACGACGATGACGAGCCAGAGTCTCAATGCTTCGATGGACGCGACGTGGTGATTGCTGTCCTTGTTGGGGTGATTGGATTGTTGGTCGAGAAGTACGTATTCAACAAGTCCGGATAAAGCGAATCGTAGGTCAGTATTGTTGGTTAATGCAAGTCACCGATGCTTGCCGACAGACACCATTTTACAGCTGTCGGTACGAGTGGAAAATGAAGGTTGAGTTGCGACCTACCGGACGAAGAGAGTGAGAGGCACTTTCCGAAACCGAATGAAAAAGAAGTTAGAAGACTCCAGGCAACGATGAGCCATTGCAGCAAGAGAGTGAGTCAAAAGAAAAGCACTACCTACCGTTGAAGAATAATATGTTAGCATGAAACCAGAATTGGCTCTTTTGTACCGTAGAAACTCGCAGCATAGTGGAGTGAGTCGAGTCCTCCGTCCTGGTTGTTGTGGTCACCGAGACGCTTCAAGTGTCTTGTCTTGTCTTCGTCCCACTGCAGAGCTGAACCTCGTTCCGTAGAAGGCAACCATTACCCCGTGTCACACTGTTTTCCACTTCGAGAGATAGAGCAGACAATAGTAGCAGCAGATCGCTATGCATACATCCTGAGCACGTCTCTAAGAATCCTGAGGTGCTTGGGGCAGTCCACGCATCAGACATCATCCACACCGTTACTACATGTACCTGTACCGCTAGCACCATGCAATTTCCAATCTATGATGTTTCCCTACTGTACGGTACTTCTGCTAGCTTTGCACTACGTCACCGATAGGACAAGGTTGTCGCAATCTAATGTCCTAGTACCAGTAGCTGGTGAAGGATCTGGGGTTTCCTACCGTATCTATCATACAGCCTTTTACAAACACAGATACGATACTCTCAAGTTCAGATGGAGGAGCGTGGAAGTTGGCAAGACCAATGATCAATCGATTGGATTAGATTCGAATTATTTCGACTCGACTCAGTCGAAATCGATTTTATCCAGCCCCGTATCCAGCTCGCTCCTCGCCTTAACCCTATATTCAGTCATTTATTTTCTGCTCCAAACCAAAGATTGCCAACAAGCCTTCTTCCGCCCTCTGTCACCTTTGTCAACCAATCCAACAAGGTAGCAAGCGACAGACACAGATCGACAATGTCGAACACCAAGATAAGGCAAGGACTTTCTCCTTCTAATGGGAGGAAACAAGAAGGGGAGCGCTTGAAACAGAGGACTCCAGCCAGTAACCGAAGGAATGGCAACGGGGCGTTCTCTTCCGCCCAAGCTTCACGCGGTCATTTGGGGACGCCCCAAGAGCAGCGTATACAGGGAGAAAAATGGATTTCGTCTCCGCCTCAGAAGGAGGAGGAGGACGAAAATATGGACCACCAGATGAGACCACAGAGGACACCGCTATCGATGGCCATTGCCATGAAAGCTGCCACGTCGCCTGCTTTGTCCTCGTTTCCAGATTCATTCTGGACTCCTTTTCTCGAACAAGAGGAATACAACCGACAAAAATTGTATGGATCCACTGCTGCTGTGAATTCTCCAACTCCTCGCAAATTGCAGTTCCATGATGAGAATAATAACAAACCCAGGAGGAAACAGGTCAAGCCCAAGAATGGCGCGGCACCGAAAAAACCCAAGTCCTCGTTTGGCATTGTGACAATCTTCCGGGCAATACTAAATCAGCTGGTCTATTTGGCAACTGTATCGTTTGTGACGTCGCTGATGTATGTCCCCTATTTGCGACCAATCTTTGAAGTGATGGCATTTCTTGGACGGCTTCTCCTCGGATTTGCATTGGGAGTTTTCGTTTTTGTAACAACAATTGCTTGGCCATTTCTGCAGGAGCAGTATCATCAATGTCATTTGGATGACACAATGGCAGACATCAAGGACTGGTTGTTGGAAAAAAATCTCATTGAATGCAGTGGTTTGGACGAACAAGATTGTACCCTTGGGTCTTTTTTTGGTGTCTGAGCATGTGGGTGGGTGGGTGTGGCCTTTATTCTTGAGACACAGGCGACCAAGTTCTTTCTTCAGTAAACTTATTTTAACAAAATGATTACTAGGGCCCATGTTGTTTGTCGGCTCCGTTCTGCACGGACGTCCAAACGTTAGATAATGTCAAGGCGCACAGCTACATCAATACTGGTACAATTAGCGCTGATGATGATGTCAAGCCAAACAACCAAATAGTTACGGCAGAGCCTCCCTGTTTTGAAGCCGTCTCCTAAAGTAATTCATGTCAAACCAAACAACCAAAAAGTCACGCAGAGCCTCTGTGTTTTTTAAGAAGCTGTCTCTGTAATTCACTTAGATGCTACTGGCAATCAAATAAATAGTCCCTAAGGGCATTTCGACCGCAGCGCAACGAGAAGGCATCAACAGCCACAGACACCGGAACTAAACAAGAATCGCCGCAATGAATTATAAAACGAATGGGCCTATTGTGTTATCTATGGGTCGCCAAAACAACCCGCGGCTGACGTTTCTAGAACGCCAAGGAGGCGCAAGCCAAATCGAGGCACCCGAAAGAAACCCACGGCCTCGCATACTCAAGCAAGGTACTGCACAAAACAAGGGTAAAGGAGGAGGTTAGAATCAGAGAATGAAAAAGGCACGGAAGAAGAAAACAAGAAATGCCACTTACGTTGTACACGTGGTTGTTGTCGGCGCTTCGCTCCAAGTACTCGCGATCGATCAAGGCCTCGATGCGCTTCTTGACAACCCGAGGATTTGGATTGAAGAAGGCCAGCTGGTTCAACACCTCCGACAACAACTGTTGGTGTTGCAGGGTCTTGCGCGCCTTCATGATTCGTACGATCGCGGCCTCGATGGCAATGGTACGGTCCTCCTCGACGCGCTTGGTGTTGAGTGTCGAGTCAAGCGACGCCATGGGAATGCGGATCTTGCGCATGTTGGACGAGAACTTGGCGTTGGCGGTGAACTTGTCAGTGGTGTTGATCTTGTTGCTGGCCGGTGTCTTGGCAATGACCTTGTACTTTCCGCAAGACAAGGAGTGCATCAAAGGCTTCAAAATCGACTCCTCCAAATTCAGACGCTTGGCCAGTTCTTCAAATGTCAGAGTCTCCCCTCCATTCATGGCGTCCAGGGCAATGGCCTGCAGCGTCGACACTTGCATGTCGTACGACTTCTTTCCAAAGACCCCACGGACTGTCGCATTCCCTTGCGAAAACATCCAAGTCAGCTTGCGCTTTTGGTGCTTCTTGTCGTGCCACTCCTTGAAGACATCCATGCACTTGGACATTTCTGGCGTCAAACTGACCTCCGGCGACTTGTAGGTGGGCCAGAATCCGGTCGTGAGCACTTGCACGCTAAAGTCCAGCTTGGTGTCGACTTGGCGCATTCGTTGCTCGAATTCTGTTCGCTGCTCGCTACCAACAGCCAAGTCGGCCAACATACCCTCCATCTTCGAAGTGAATTGGGTACCGCATTGCATTTTGAGCTTGGCAATCATCAGCTTCTCCGCGTCGTCGCTCGTGGAACGCTGGTTGAGAAGGCGCTTGGCCAGTTGGTTGCGGTAGATTTCTGCAAAGAGATCCTTGTCCGTCAAGTAGCTGAACAGCTGGACAATTCGATCCAAAGATTCCTCCACTTCTCCCTCGCTCAACTTTTCACCGCCACTCTTAAGGATACGATCGCAAAAGGTGGACATGAGCTCGGCGTTGGTGTACTGTCCGACGTTTTTGTTGACAATTTCGACAAACGCATCCTTGAGTGCCTTTTGGAACAACGAGTGCCCGGAAAAGTCCTTCTTGACGACACCGAGGTACTTCTCGTGTAGTTCAATCAAGGATTTCACAAACTTGGGATCGTCATTGCGGTCCTTCTCGGATTCCAGACGAGCCTTGCGGCGGTTGATGATGTCGTCTCCCATGCTGCTGACGAAATTTTGGAGGATGGTGGCAATGGGGACGAGGCCGTTCTCCAAACGGGAAAAGAGACGGAACATGCGCTGGAGATCTTCGCTCTTGTCATTCTGGAGAAGGGCGCGGCATCCAGAAGTTTCCTTTTCCAAGAGGATGGTTTCGACCTTTTCTAAGATTTCCTCTTCGACGACCTTGAGGATCTTGCTCTCAGAAGACGAGTTCAAATAGTCGGCGACGCGGCTACGTTCTGCCTCCAGAGCTTCCTCCGCCTTGATCAAATAATCTGGAGTCGAGTCATTGATCCAGTCTTCTCGTTTCTTGGCGTAATACTCCCGAGTGGAATTCAACAAGGGTTCCTCCAAATCAGCATTGTAGGCGTCGAGAGATCCCATTCCCATGTTCTCGTAGAGTTCCACAATGTTCTTGATCAAGCTCTTGTCAATGATCTGGGAGTTGCGCTCTTCGTCAATCAATCCAAGGATGGCCTGGGTCGTATCCCGCTTCATTTCGTCGTAAATGTTCGTGCGGAAGCATCGCAAACCAGCCTGTGATAGAGTTGGCAGACTGTGGTGCTTGACGTAGTAGCGATCAAGGTAAGTGAAGAATTTTTTCAACCATTTATTCATGATTTGGTGATTGGTCCAACGAAGCTGCAATTCTCGCAACAAAATGGTTCCGCCTTGGCCGGTCCTGTCACGCAAAGCAGGAAGGACGTGCGTCGTCAAGTAATTCTCAATGGTCTCGCCGTGGCGCTGGTACAACTCACGAGACCAGTTGTAGGGCGAACGCTGAGTGCACATGTCATAGCAAGTGCTGGACGAAAACAAAGAAAGAAAAAAATCAGAGCGAAAATCAAGGTGAGCAAAGACAAAAATACGTCAATTTTCAACCGACAAAACAACAGGGGACAGGAAGAGCGGCCACCCAGAGGGTCAACGCTCGGCAATGCCCGCCGCCAAAAGAATTCTTACGTGTAAATCGTGACATATTCTCGCGGCCCAAACATGTTGGAAGTGCCCGTCTTCATTCCGCCATTAAGCAAATCCTCGAGCTTGTCGATGGCCTGGGTGTGTCAACAAGAGCAGGGGAAAAGCGGCCATGGTGAGACACTGCATTGAGGACCATTGCCACGACGGACAATGCCGCCACGACGAAACGTGGTTGGCACAGCAAAATCATGACCCAAAATATTGCAGGCAACGTGTCGCCTTCGCCGCAGGTAGCCAGTTTTCTTCTACAAGCGCTCGGATGGCTCTTACCTTTGCCTTGATCTCATCGTTCCATCCTTCCTCCAAGGGGATGATGCGTTGTCCTCCAGAAGCCATGGTTTTGCCGCTGATATCTTTTCTCTTCTTGCTTTGCTGAGATCAATGTTGTGATCTCGGGACCGATTGATTGTGTCGCTGCTGCTGGGGCCAGGCGGACTTGCCCCACGTCCAGTCGAGTCACGACATAAGCACGATTGCCACTCTCAAACGTATTCTGGATCGGACCTGCTCCATCGTCTGTTGCAAACAGGGCGAATAATCTTCATGTACTCAAGGACAACCTAGATCTAGGGCATCCAAGTCAGAGCTGGCTATTCACGCACAGCAGCAAACTACAAAACTACTATAGGGTGGTTCTCAGTTTGCTAGAACGTGATACATCTACTGCAAACAATAAAGTAGCACAATGGAAAGCAATTCTTCATTTCGTTGGAACCAAAATCTCCGGTACTGCTTGCCCAGAGAATTAGAAATGGGGATGATATCGTGGTTGCTGGTGGTGTGGATAGGCAATGGGGTAGGGTGGATCATGCGGCTCGCGGTACGCAAAGGCATTGTTTTGGTAGGCTGCCACAGCAAAGGGAGCCCGAGCCACCATTTGCGGGACTTCTACGTGTTCCTCTTCGCCTTGATCATCTTCGTCTTCCGATGAGTCCGACTTTTCGTCGGCAACTCGACCAGGTGGAGAACGACGCGGTTTGGAGCGCTCAGGGCCCGTCTGCTCGAACTGGAATCCAGCATCTTCCAACTGCTTGATCCGACTCTCGTTCATGCAAGAGCGTTTCCCGAGCATGAAGGCTCGGTAGTGGGCTCGTTGATTCGCGCACCAGGCCACCAACTGGGGGTTTTCGGGGTATTCTTTTGGCACTCGAGTGTGTCTAATTATCACGGAAAGAATCGAATTCAGTGTTAGTCACAGCGACGTCAGCCAGTAGCTCCCTTGAGGTAGGTACTCACCCGTGCTGCCGCTTGAACTCTCTCAGTTCCTCATAGCGCTCAAACCATGAGCGGCTCAGATTCTCCCAAACAAAGCCGATGGCTGCAACCAATCATGAAACGCAACCACTTTAGTTGTAGGCGGTCATGATTAGGCCATCAAAAGACTAATCTGCTTACATTCTAGTTTCTGGAGCTGCTCCGCTGTCATGGAAACAGAGCTCGGGTCCCTTTTGAACTTGTTGCCTTCGTGTCGCATGCGTTTGACCCAATGTGCCAACGTAGGATTGCGCTTGTAACCACCTGAAGCAGAACAACATGAACGGAGTTAGAAATAGAAACGATTCCGGATGCAACGGCAAGTGCAGCTGTAACTCACGAGGAACTAAGCAATCGCCGTTCTCAGCCTGTGGTCGAATGAATGGAACATAAAATGAGGACTGAAAAGGAGAAGCGACCACCCTCCGGAAAAAATGTCGGCGTACCTTGTATGCAATTAGATCGCTGTAATGCTTTTCCCATGTTCCGTCTGAGTACTTCCAAACGAAGCCCAAGTCTTCCAGGCTTTGTGCCAAGTACCAGGGCAATTTGGAAGGTTGTCCTTCCTTTTTGTTGTAGCGATCTCGCTGTCGAAGAACCCACTTACGCAAGTCCTTCATCTCCTGAGTTTGGCCGCGGATGATGTTGCAGTTTCCGTGCTCGTGTTTGTATTGTACGAGCTTCAAATACATGTCCTTCCAGGGCCCAGACTCGTTGATGACGTCGCGGCTGAATTCTGCAGACACTTCCTTGACATGCTCTGCCATGGCAAGTTTGCGTTGTTTGGCTTCTTCCAGTCTCTTTTGAGCTTCCACCAATGCTATCTGGGCGTCAGCTACCGCCTCGGCGGCCTTTTCTTCCTTGACACGTTCGGCCTTAACCGCTTGATATCGTTGCAGCATTGCCGGTGACATGTTTAGATCCACCTGCCGAGGACGGCCCCTGGACGGCTGATCATTACCGGTACCACCACGACGACGCTTTCGCCCGCCTTCAGCAGGTTCCTGACCGTGGGAAATCCGATCGGCCCGAGCTGATTCTCTCATGTCTCGAATCATTCGACAAAGTTTCACTTCTTCTGGATCATCGGGTTCGGTGTCCCGTGGCAAGGATTTGATGCGGTACTCCAGTCCGCTGAGGAAGGGTCTTTTGACATCGTTGATATTCTTTTTTCGAGCAAGCAATTGCTCTCCCCATTCCTTGGCGTGCTGCTCGTAGAATGCATTCACAGCCTGATCCCATTTGTCAGACTTGTAGACTTCATGGCTGAGATAGCATTTGGCCATTGTGATGAACAACACATTATCGCGAGAAAAGTAAAGACGTTTTTTGGGCACAGGCGCAGGTGCCACCGGTTCCGGAGGCGCCAACAATGCATCGTCGACGTTGAGTACTCCCTTGATTTGACGGCACAATTTCTGTTCATCGGTTACATCACTGTCGGGGTCTTCCGGGAGGTCCTTGATGCGACTAAAAAGACCAGTCAAAAAGTGTCCTTTGATTTGTTCGGTGGGCTTTCGAGAGTCTACTGCCGTTCCTTGAGCATCATAGAACTCCTTGACGGCGAGATTCCATTTATCTTCATCTGAATTATCCTTGTAAAGCTCATTGTCCAGATAGCTCTGAGCCATAATGGCAAAGAAGTTGGGAGATTTCGAGGCAGCTGGCTTTGTACCGGCACCGGCAGCAACCGGCGAAGCTGTCTCTTGTTCCACCATTGGCTGAGCATCCATAGTCGAGTCGACACCTTCCATTGTCGCTCCATTATTGCAGAAGCTGCCGCGGTGGCGCTATCCAGGAGTTGTCCCATTGTAGCATTGGAATCGGCGGCATCAAGTGTCCCATCAGCCGCTGCCTGCCGAACTGCACCATCTCCACCGCCTGCCACACCCTGCTCAATGGGAATGCCAGAACTCATCTCTTTACCGCTTCAAGCAAATCAACCGTCTTTCTTCCACAAACAAATGAAGGTACTGTACTTCGGTCGATGGCGTACCGGTGGTCTCTCTTCCTTAGACTGTCCGCTCCTTCGTTGTCCGTTGCCAACTTGCCATTCAACAAGCGGACCGCAATCGCTTGTGCTCTTCGGTGAACGTGTTGTTCTTTTTTTAACCATTCAATTTGAACTTTTAGAGAGGGGAAAAACTATAAAATGATCAGAAAGGAAAAATTCAACGTCGTCAGCCTTCGAGTGAAATAAACCTGAGCCTTAAATTGATTCGATTCGATTCGCATTCGCCCTCGCCTCGAGGGCCTCGAAGCAGCTTTTGTTGTTGTTGTCCATTGTCTCTCAAGTTAGCCGATCAAAGAAGCTTGCAGCTAGCAACCTGGTCTCGCTTAACATTTCATGCAAACATGTACTCCAGCAGACGGTTGCTCGCAACATCCTCGTCTTCGGGAAGAGGAGCCCTTGGTGGTGGGTTCTCGAAGGATAATTTGACGGAATGGGCCGCACGAGAATGGGGAGAAGTTGCTGAACCCGGTCATTACATTGATTTACACTCCCACAAAATATCACCCGAGTGTGCTGCCGTCCTGGAGAGGCATTCACGCCCTTCCACCGCCATGAGCCGAGCTTTTTTTGGATCCAGCGTATTTGCTCCGGAACGATTCCTTGTTTCAACGTTGGGGTTTTCGAAGAACGACATACTGCCGTCCGTATTTCGGAAGGGTGATTCCTATCTCTTTTTCACGGCCACCGAGTCGACCCCTCACGAGCTCATCCTGGGGTGGAAGTTGGGACAGAGTCGAGGATGCACGATGTTGGCCGTAGATCCAAGAGCTCGATTAGTGTACTTGGGGAGTGGAATTGAAAAGGCAGACTACCACCGAGGCGTTCTGTTTCGAAAGATATTGACACCGTTTCACATATTCTACTCGAATTTATTGATCAAAGGAATGGTAAAGGAGCTAGAGGACGAGTGTGCGAAACTCGAGTCCCCCGGATCTGGCTAAGAACTACCGAAGTGTCGCGAGAAATAAATGATACTACATCTACATCCGGTCTTTCGAATGATATATCTATGCAGACAAAACAACCCAGCTACTTGTAGCCAGTGGAAGGTCAATCTTGAAGCTGGTTTTGCCTCGCGGTTGATAGTACAAAGCGCAAAGAGGGAATCGCGTTGGAAGCTTCGCAGTTGCAACATCTTGGGCCAATTCTGTGGGCTTAGACACTGACCAGCCATCACTAAGGGCCACAGCTGGTCATACCTACTCCCGGTTGCAGCTCACCATCGTACCATATCTGTGCTCTGTGAACGATGGGATTCCAAGCCAAAAAGGTCAACATTCAAGCGGGATTGGGGCTGCATCTCTGCCAACAATACTACATGTAGTAGCTACACGTGTACGGTACTTCCAATGGCCACTTCATACCAGATGGCAAATAGTAGCTGCATTACTTGTAGACCCAACCACAAGGACGTTCCTGACACGACAAACTTTACAATAACGATGGCGACACGGGTCAATTCGATATGTACTGTCGTTTTGAGCGAGGGACCACAAGTGACCAAGCAATTTGATGACGATTGCAACTCTAGCCACCATGTTCGGTGTCAGTCAAGTCAGTCATCTTTGCTTTCGTTCCTACTGAAGCCTCGATTGCCCGGCCACCGGAACCGACAAGTTCGGAGCCGGCCTTAGCAACTGCCAGCGATACCATACGGTATGTCGTGAGCTGAATGTATTCCTGATGACCAGAAAGCAGCATCCACCAGCTGCTTACTACATACATGCAGTACATGTACCTCTGTCGGGTGGACCTCTGGCTGATCACGGCGACGAACCCGAGAGTTCCGTCCTTCTTCTTCGGCTCAATGGGCCCCATCAGTTGTCAGACTCACACTGTTTGCAAAACTGATCATCCCACAGTGGTTGACCCTCCAGCCATCTAGCTTACGATACATGTACTTGAGCTGGTATATGTTTCATCAGCAGTGGCTACATGATATTGTACTAAAAGGATGTTCTTGAAGCTATCATCCGCTGGGAATGAGGAAGCCCGCAGCTCCGATACCACTACCGCTACTAGACTAGTACAGCTGCTGCACCGAGCCGCCGAGGGAAGGTGTGGTACAGTGCTGGTACCGGGTACTAGAAGAATGTGAATGAAAAAGCCGGTGTAGTCACCTGGTTTGAGTAGAAGAGCACGGGTACCGTACTAGTAATATTGAAAATAAATAATACTAAAAAGAAGCCTTCCAACTTAGTTGTGAGTCGCCAGGGCCTGACCCTCAACCCTCAACCACCACAAGAAGCGAATGATGAATCGAAGCGAATCCACACAAACACACAAACACCAGTGACCTCAAACATATTAGTAATGTACCGTACCGGTACCGGTACCGGTACTAGCTAGCCAGCACAACCTCATCGAATGGAGGGACGAGCAGCGCCCGGTGCACAGTGGTGGTAGCAGAGCCAGGATAGAAAACCAAAGTAGTACCGGTACAAAGTACGATATGTTACCGGGCAAGCTAGAGACGATACACTGTCTTCTGTAGCCGGTGGCCTTGTCAAGTACCGGTAGGCTAGCAACTAGAGACCTTGACAACGATAAAGGGGAAAAGATTGCATGTACCGGTAGCTACCAATGAGTAGGTGTCCATCATGTTGCTTTTCGATGAAGACTCGAAGGATGAGAATGGGAGGGAAAAGATTTTGGATCTCGCGTATAACTTAAACAGTACCACACTTAATTCTATTCCAATTGGAGGTAAGTCTACTAGAGCCCGTAGCTATCAACTCATAGCTCGGGAGGGTTGCACTTACCGTTTTCAAATCTGGGGACTTTGTAATTCCTAAGTTTACAATGCAGGGATAGCACGGATCACTTGGCTTCGACAATAATGCATGTCAGCTTATCTGCTTCTGGTAGTCTATTTCGCACGAGCTCTCGTTGCACTCCACGTCAAACTTGTCCCCCCAAAACAGTCTCGTAATAGTAGTCTGAATAAAAGGTGAGTGGTCAAGGTTGTTTCCTTGAAGCAGCAGGCTAAGAAGAACATTGAAGAAACCATCTCGCACGTTTTATTAGTATTTCTGGACAGCCACTGCAGTTGTAGCATCATTGCAGCTCTGAACGAGAGGACGAGATACTGGGTCATCTGTTACCCACTGAAGCTGCCCAGCCACCAGCTAAATTCTATACTGAGTACAATATCGAATCTGATGTACAGATCTTGCCTCACAGCAACGCTTCCGCCAGTCCAGTCAGCTACTACTACTCCAGGTTCGGAGCTGGTCACTAGCTAGCTAGTCTACCGGTACCGTACAGGTCCAGTGGCTCGTGGTAGCGAGTAGAGCTTCCGTGCACCATGGAGTAGTGGATGACATTAGAGCTATTTCTTATTTTTAGCAAGACACTCTCAGACTAAACTAAGTAAGTAAGACAAGTCTTCTAAACTTCAATACATCCATTTCTTTGGGAGTTCCCCTTTCATCCAGACTGGGTCTTTGGTTTTGACCTAAGGTGTCTGAGTCAATAAAGACTTCAACCCCTCGAATCCAAACATGAGTTCCAGATCATTCTGTTGATTCAGTACCGATTCGGCTAAGCCGTTTCTCCGTGAAACGCAGTAATAGTGAGAAGCCGCTTATTAGTCAGCGCTTTGGATTTTGGATAATCGGATGGAACGTGAACAGAATGCATCCACCTGCTCATCAGTACGAACTGGTACCGTACCCAGACTGGTTCGCCACCAAGATCGTTCCTTTAATTTTGCATGTCGCAAAGGTGGCAATAGCTGTGGCAATGTACCACCTGATCTAGCATTCCCGTGAAGCCTCAGATAGCAATCACTAAGAAGCTCAAAGCCGTTCGACACTGTGAATGAAGTCAACACTACAGATTTCTCCGCTGATTTCTCTGGGTCGCCTATCTCAAGCTCTACTGTCACTGCGCAGAATCGAGGTGGGCTCAGCAATCTGCTGGTGGTTCCACCCAATAGATTCGATTCTCATAATATTTCAATACACTGCAAGAAGAACAACAACAACTCGATCTTTTTAACCATGCAAGCAGCAACAAAGAAACGAGAGCTTCCTAGTAGCCTCCCATCCGAGGGACGGGAAACCAAGAGGTGCAGACTTGGGAACAATGTCGACACGATGCTTCTGCTCAATGATTTGGGTATTCAGTGCCATAGACTAGGAAAGATCTATGAAGCAAAGGCTCTGTTTCGAGAGTCACTTGGGTTCTTCAGCGAGGGAGATGATCTACTTGTACGAAACAACGCTCCTATAGATCGGAACGGCGCAGAAGCGCCGAGTAACATCATCTGCCCCCAGGAGAGTGAGTACGACGAGGGCATGCATGGATATCGCACGCCATTGCGTGTAAAAGATAACAGCAGCAATGAGGTTGCTATTGCGACTCTTCGATACAATGTTGGTCTTACACTTATCCAGACCAAGGACTTTGATGGAGCTCGGCGCTCATTTACGCGTGCTTTGGAGTTGATGCAAAACATGCCTGAATTGCAAAACAGCTCCAACACTCTGAGTCGCCTAAAGATCCAACATAACATTGGATACTGCTACTATCGAACAGGTCATCGTGTGGACGCCATGCACCACTACCTCCACGCCTTGCTCCAAGTGAGGGTTGGCAACGACTCTGCGAACAAGTTTGACCTTGCCGTTGCCTGCAACTGTGTTGCCATGCTACAGCTCAGGGAGAACCAGTGCAATTCCAACGATTGTTTGCTCTTGTTGCGCACAAGCTTGGCAAATTTTGTCACAGCATCGGGCCAGCTCTCCATGGAAACAGCCACAGTTTTCTTCAACATTGGACAAGCTCATTTCTATCGAACGGAATACCCTCAAGCCCTCGTCGCCTTTCAGGAGGCCGCTAGGGTTCGAAAGGAAGTCTTTGGGGGCGAAGAATCGATTGATTATGCAATTTGCATCTTTGGAATTGGTCAAACTTTTCACAAGCTTGGTTCCTTGGATGAAGCCATGAAATGCTTCAAGAGATTCTTAGAGATCCGCGAATCCAAGGGAATAATGGATCGACACGATGTCATCACGGCTCTAAACTCCATCGCCATTCTTCATCGAGACAAGGGAGAACTCAATGAAGCATACTCCGTTTTTGAGCAAGCGTTGCTTGTCGGAGTGGCCGCCTTTGGTGGATCCCACACAAACCTAACATCCACCTTGATCAGCTTTGGAAGTCTATGCTTTCAGATGGGAAAGTACGACACTGCACTGAAGCTCTACGAGCAGTGCTTGAAGACTCAGAAAGAAAAGTTGGGGGAACAAAGCCCAGAAACCATCAATACCTTGCTGAGCATTGCTCAAATCCACTGGCATGTGGGGCGATACCGGTCTGCTTGGATTACTTTCAAGGAGATTCTCGCCCTTCAGGTTCAGACAATCGGGCCAACGAGCACATCGGTGGCATCCACCGTATCGAGCATGGCTCTCATCTACTGCCAGATGGAGAAGTACGACGATGCCTTGGAACTATACCAAGAAGCGTTGCGCATTCGTCGTGATTGCTTCACGGATCAGGAGCACCCTGACATTATTGCCACTCTGAACACCATCGGCCTCGTTCTCTGCAAGCTCCACGAGTTCAAGCTGGCCAAAGAATCGTTCCAAGAGTGCCTGCGAAGCCGCATGCAAGCCCTCGGACCGGACCATTTGGATGTGTCCATGCTGATGCACAATCTTGCGGCAGTTCATCTCGATCTTGGAGAAGAGGAAGAGGCCGTGAAGCTTCTGGAACGAGCTTTGCAAATCAGAAAGAAGAATCTTGGTCCCCTTCACCCAGAGGTTGCCTCCACACTCCATCATCTTGGTCAAGCCTATCAAATGCGCGGGGCCTTGGAGGAAGCTTGCGAGGCTTTCAAACAGGGGTTGGGCATTGAAAGGCAGAGCGAAACCCGAGACAATGTTGTGATCCGAAAGTTGCTGAATTTGATTGGTAAGTCCCCGACGTCCTCTCTTTATTTGCGCTTCATTGTTTGTATGCCTCTTATCATACCCACTGTTATGCAACCAATATCACAGGTAACATTCACTTGATGAGGGCCCAAGTTCCTGAAATGATGGAGTGCTTTGTAGAGGCCAGCCGGATTGAGGAAGAGGGAGGCCAACGAGCGGCTGATTTTGCCACAACTCTCCTTGTCACGGGGCACAATTTCTTTGACCTGAGCAAATTCCATCCTCAGTGTGCCCCGGTTGCCTAAATTTTGGCATGTACAGACCTTCCATTTTTTACGTGCACCTCCAACCTTCCACCTCCAACCTCCCATTTTCTGAAACAACCTCCTCTGTCTGACTTCGAGCCTCCTTGTATGAATAGATAGAAAACCCAGCAAGCACATTTAGCTATCTGGCTACACGTTAACGAAACTAACCGCATGCAGAAAAAGTTTTTCACAAGTCCAATTGCCCAGCAACAGGAAACAATCGTTGAACCCCCCCTCCATAGTTAGTTGTCCATAACGGGCATTCAGACTTGTCCAGTTTTCCTGCTGGATGTCCATGCAAAGAATGCATGTGCTGTGACCTCGTTGCTGGATGTTATTGCGTTGTCATGCATGTCCCAAACTCATTCGTGCAAAAAAAGCGAAATCTAACCGGCATTGGTGGCAACGGCATGCAACACCAACAAAATTACATGTACCACCACGATCGACCAGCAACAACTGTTGGACAGTCCCGGATGATCCCTCATAAAACTTCACATTACAACACTAGAGATGTCAACCAACATATTACACTTCCTTATCCTTTTCGTCTTCTCCGTCGCTTTCCTGATCAGCTATAAGCAGATGGCCAAGTATCACAAGCCTCATCGAACTCACTCGGCTCCTGTAGCCGCCCTCCAAAGCATCGCGACGGGCACCGTTACGCCACTTCTGCGGGAAGATACCGGTATTCACCAGAGCTCATTGGATTCTGATGTAGTGGAGCGAGTTCATGTCATCATCTTGGTTCACGGATGGATCGGTTGCCCCCAAGACTTGGGATATTTGCATCACGCAATGGAAGAACAGGCCGCCATTGTATTGAAAGAAGAAAACCTGTCATCATCACAACGGCGGGAACCACTCTATGTCTACACGTGTACATCCAACCATGGCAGAACCAACGATGGGATTCAAGCTGGGGCCGACCGAATTGCGCAAGAATCACAGGAGTTCTTGGACAGCATTAGAGAGCAACACAAAGGCACCCTGAAAGAGATTACCCTGTCCGTGGTGGGGTACTCTCTCGGTGGATTGTACTCTCGCTATGCATTGCCCAAAATCATTACAGCAGAATCTGCTGACGACAGCAACAACTCGCCAAAAATAATTCCCAAGGTCTTTTGTACCATTGCAACGCCACATCTTGGATCAGAAGGGCATACGTATGTCCAACTTCCAAGGCGGTTGGAGAGATGGTTGAGTCTGATGACCCAAACTGGACGAGACCTGTTCCGCCACAGCAACACTATTGAAAAGACAATCACAGACCCGCATTGGGTGGAACCCATGCTACGATTTGAAAAGCGAATTGCCTATGCCAACACTTATGCAATGTAAGTTAGTTGACGCGTTCTTTGGGTTGTGTTCTTTCTGTTTTGCCCTCCCCCCTGACATTTTCTTTCCTAACTACCGTATGAACAACAACAGGGACGTCATGGTCCCCACATCCACAGCGGCGTTTATCCCGGAGAACTCCACATCCGAGCACTTTCACCTGGAAATACCAAACAACAATCGATTCATGGCTTTAATGGTGCAGACACCTGCGCAACACAAGCTGCTACGGGAGCAAACACAACAACAATCACCTACATCATCATCATCATCGTCATGGGATCACGCCAAACGCCTGGATGCCATGGGCTGGACCAAGATCTTTGTTGATTTTGCCGACAGCTATGATCGACATGCAGACAATGATTCCAAAGATCATGATTCGTCTACCATGACATGTAGTTCCTCCTCCGAGAGGAAACGATCCATCCGAGCTTTCGAATTACATGCAGAGTTTCAACGAAGCAAGCGCAGACTATTCCTTCCAGTGGGACATGACCTTGTGGCGGTCAACTCCAAAAATGTGTTCTATTCGTATTTCATGCGGAGGGGGCGACCTCTGATAGACCAACTTGCAAATGACTTTGTGCGGGATGTGGTGAGGGGTGTACAACAACAATCCAATGATGATGGCGATGGAGTCTAAAGTACTGTAGTTTAGTTAGAGCATTGTTACAGCTACCGTATTGTCAGTTTCCTTTGTTTGCGTAGCGGTAGTCCATACTAGCTGTTGCAACCTTGCAATGAGGGTCTTTGATCGCACCTATGCTACTCCCGTGAAGCTAGCTGAAAACTAGGTCATGTATGTGCCTACAATATGCATCCTCTTTCTCAATAGGATCCACTCAATAGGGCCATGAGTTAGATCCAGTCTCAGGCTACCGTACCTGGATGAGAGTACCGGTACCACCTGCTCGCAGCGAAAAAATCTATTCGACAGAGCCGATTTGGGGCATTCAATCGAAAAGAAACGGCAAGGTGTGCTTTCTGCAAACTGACGTCAGTGTCTCCTCCAACCAGCAACACTTCAATCGGTTGGCAATTATTATTTCCAATGATAGTTCGATTATTCTCCATGGGCATAGTAATGTTTAATATAACAATGAGACATGACGCTGATTAAATAATTCCTGTCGGAGAGATGGTTCAGAGCCCTTGGTTGGTTCTTCTGTATTGTTGACATAGATCGGAACAAACGAAATCCATAGAAAAGATAGAGGAAACCTTCGACCATGATAATGGGAGTTGTGCTACCGTTCCTGGCTCTGCTATCCTGCACCGATGCCTTTGTCCCTCGGGCTCCATGGTCGCCAATAAGGACATCGATCGATGCAACAGTCGCGGAAGATGTAGCGGATCTGGACCAGGAATCCATCACCAAAAAGACTCCCATTATCCTGCTGGCAGGTTTCCTAGGGACAGGCAAGACCACAACGCTAAAGCATTTGTTGGAGAACACAGAGGGTTCAAGGATTGGCGTTATTGTGAATGATGTGGCCTCGGTGAATATTGATGCCAAGCTGGTTTCGTCCATGCCCGAGTCCGCTTCGGAAGATATGATTGAGCTTCAGAATGGATGCGCCTGTTGCAGCCTCTCGGATGAATTATTCACCAGTGTCGAGACATTATTCCAGCCCAAACGCAGTGGAATTCTGCGTCGCAAAAAGGCCCGTGAATACGACGCCATTGTGGTCGAGTTGAGTGGAGTGGCAGATCCCCAGGCCGTGCGGGCCACCTGGACTGCAGCCGCTGGATCGGATCGATTTCCCGCCACTGAAATGGCGGAAATTTCCAAAATTGTCACCATGATTGATTCCTGTACCTTTGCAACCGATTATATGACGTGGGATGCCGTAGCGCAGCGTCCTGGATGGGCCGAACCGGGAGATGATTGTGCCGGTAATCGAAAGGTGGCAGAATTGTTGGCCGAACAGGTCGAAGCTGCCAATCTGATTCTCGTCAATAAAATTGACATGGCCACGGAGGAAGAAGTCGAAGTTTCCAGCAAGGTGGCCCGTGCATTGAATGAAAAGGCAACTCTACACAATGTGGCCTTTGGAAAGATTAGCCCCAGTGAAATTCTGGAATTGGGTACCACAGATCTACTAGTCGACTTCAAGGAAGAAAAAGACGAGGCAGCAGCAGAAACGTCTGGACACAGTCATGGCCATGATCATGCTTGCGAAGAGCCTGGTTGCACAGATGAAAGCCATGACCATAGCCACGATAGCCATGCTTGCGAAGAGCCTGGTTGCACCGATGAAAGCCACGATCATAGCCACGATAGCCACAGCCACGACCATGCTTGCGAAGATCCGGGATGCACCGATGAAAGCCATGATCATAGCCACAACCACGACCATGCTTGCGAAGAACCGGGATGTACTGATGAAAGCCATGATCATTCCCACGAATCAGGAGATGCCTGCATTGATCCTGGTTGTACAGACACTAGCCACTCTCATTCACATTCGCACTCGACATCGACCGACAATTTGGGTATTGTCAATTTTGTATACAAGTCTGCCCGCCCTTTCAACACCAACAGACTCATGGCAATGCTCAATACGTGGCCAATACCTGTCAAGGATGTCCTGGATCTAAAGGTTTTGGAAGATGCACAGTCTGAAGGGTATGACATGGGAGATGGACTCATTAAACAGGACTCTCCATTTGTTGGAGTGCTGAGAAGTAAAGGATTCTGTTGGTTGGCTCCCACCAAATGGAGTGGTGCCAACTGGGATGCTTACCGCCACGACACCGCGATGTACTGGAGTCATGCCGGAAAACACTTTGGGCTATCGTCTAATGGAAAGTGGTGGGGAAGCATTCAAATGTATGACAAATGGGAAGAATACATGAAGAAACTCTTCAAAGACAACATGGCCGAATATGAAAGAATCATGCGAGAAGACTTTGTGTCGGAAGAATTTGGAGATCGCCGACAGGAGCTCGTCTTCATTGGGATGAATCTGGATCAGGCAGAAATCACTAAGACGTTGGACGATTGTCTCCTTTCGGACGAGGAACTAGAGACGTACCGACAGAACCTGAGGAATTATCAAGATGTGCTTCTTAGCGAAAGTGGCGGAAAGGGTTTGTTTGATACGGATGGCAGTGTGACACATACCGAAGCTTAGCCAGAAGTCAAATAGCTAATGTGTATCATATTTTGAGTGCTCACAGCTTGATGTTGCACGTATGTGTCTATCTATAATACGGTAGTTTTAATGTTACAATGAAGACGGAGTAAAATTGTGGGCTTTGTTTCTCATGAACACCAATGCCAGTCTCATCGACCGGATAGTGCTCCTTCCACCATCTTTTCCTGTCTCTGTCGAAAGTATAGTGCCAAGCAATGGACTTGTGTGGTCCGGTAATATAGAAGGCTTCCAGCTATAAGTTGCTTCCGAAAGCTGCGATGCTCTCCATCGATGTCCAAGAAGGCCATGACGTATTCCTTGGCCATTCGGAAGTATCCTGTGTTGATGTCTAATGTTTCTCTCAGCCTTGGATTGTCCAACAGGTACGTTATCCAGCGCCCTGCTACTGACGCTATCTTGTAGATAACTACAAAGAAAGCGACATTCAACAATATGCAATCGTTCCGTAAGAGCCCTAGTGTAAGGAGTACAGCGCATGCGATTGATGCTGGGGATGTCCAGAAGTGGTATGGTTCCGGTTCAGAGACTGAGAGCCATTGGCTACTTCTTCCTGCTATTGGTACTGGTACTTTGAAAGTTTCTCCCATCATGTTTGATGTTTTTCTGGTTGTTTGTTTTGGATTTTGTGTTGGTATAGCCAACTCGACGACAATCAAAGCGCTTCGATCGTTCGACGTTCAACTTCTTTTGCTTGGCTCGGGTCGTGGTGAAACAAGCATTGCATCAAGAATGGTGTGGATTCCGGGTGAAGCAACGCTTGATAGTGCCAGTCCCATTTCTGTGTCGGATTTAGCGTGAACCAACGGGGACTCAAAAAAATTTCCCAAGGCATGCATTCGACCGATTTATTCCACTCTTGCCAACAACCATCTCGAGTGTTTCGACCCTGTGTGGCACAGCAACCAACAACAAGCTAGCTAGTTGTTTCGTAAAGAGAACTGATAAAGATCAAATTCGTCGCGTCTTTCGTAAATGTTTAGTCATCTGGCTACTAGCTAGCTATATAGGTGGTGTATTAGCAGAGTTTAACAAGTCGGCAAGGATTGGGTTGCTTTGGGGCGTGGCGGGGGTTGCTCTGAAGCAAGCGAACGGAGTGGTGGGACTGGACTTGGGCTGAGTGCTTGGGAGTTTATGGTTGCTGGAGGTGTCCGCTCTCCGCGCACAAAAGATACACAAGATGGGCATTCAATCGAATACGGGTTCGGCATATCCATTATTTCTTTTCACCAAGATTGGCGCTGCGATACGCTGACCATGCTCAGTGCAATATCAAGATAGCCTGGTAAAAACCCTCTAGATACCGGTGGGCGAACAGCTAATCACAACCAGGACGCCTGCATCGCAATCCTGGATCAACAGAAGAGTTGGCTAGGTACAGCAACCAAAGCATTCATGGGACCGTTTCCTGTTGGTGACGAACAATACATTATAAACGCCCTGTCTACTGGTATCAGGGCTTTCAAGATGGGTCTATAGTTTTCAATGCCGTAGCACTGATAGTGTTGGTTACTGGGATCTTGGAAAGAGTCTTGTTCCCAAACAATCCATCATGAGAGTTGAGCATTCTTTCTGCGATCTTGGATCAAAATGAGTGGCAACTGGTCCACCAATCTTGCTGATGCTGGCCCATGCACTACACTGTATAATTTGTTGGGTTGGTTGCCAACGGCTGGCTTTCAGTGGGAGCTTGGTTATTCTCCTCGCCATCATGGGGCAACAAACGGCATTTCACAAGCAAGGGTTCTGCAACTCCTATCGTGAGGCCCACTGATAGAAAAATTCCGAACAGTGTTGCAAGGAACACCTCTTTTTCGCAGGGACAAGGGTTGTCGTCTTCTTTCACCAAACCAAGATAATCACAGATCAAGTATAAAACGGCACCGGCGATCATCAAATAAGAACCGCACTCCTTGAACCTCTCTTGCAGGCTGAGAGAGCAGCGACTCATCAGGACTGCACGGAAAGAAAGAAAAATGCAGAGACCGATAGAGAGACTGTAAAAGACAACAAGACCTTTTTGAAAGCAGTTGCATTCATCAGCAGTGGCGTCCCCAGCCTCGACAGCAGTTCCGGCCACTTGCGCTGTTACAAGCCCCAAGAAAGACAGCAAATGCATCATCATTTATTTCCCTGCTTGAAGAATCGCTGCAGCCTAGATTGATGTGGTTTCCGAGAAACAACTAATAATAAGTGTGGTGCTGGTCCTCTCTGTTCTTGTTCTTTGCCTCGATGCTTCCGGTACCGTAGCGGGGTGCAGCGATCGGCAACTCCATCGGCAACTGGCTAGCTAGATCCATGCACTGGAGGTTTTGGATTTTATGATGAAGGAGAGTACCAGTTGGATTCTCACCTCCATCATAAGATATACTTCCGGTATCTTCAAGCTGTGTACATATTGTACTGGTAGTCTAAAATCACGTGGGTAACAAAATAGTGTTATTTCTTTAAAAAAAGGTTGCACCCCTCTAGCTAGCTAGCTACTAGCTAGTAGACTCTACCGCTGAACCGAGCCATAGAGGACCCAAATACTCCAAACACCCGAAGGTGCCCGCTTGGGAGGGGCCTAGATAGAATTGGCCTCCCAGAGAAACTATATGCCAATGGGCATGCATGGAAGACCAATCCGCTAGTTGCTAGGACGATTCGACATTTGTTGCCCGTAAATTTTGTTTGGCTTAGATGCTCTTTTCCACCACGGGAGCCAATTTTCCAGCCACGCTTTGAGCTAGTCTAACAATCACAACCAGGACGCCTGCCCCCGGCTGCCTGGATCAACAGATGAGCTGGCTGTGGTACCCAGCCAAAGCATTCATGGGACTGTTTCCTGTTGGTGGCGCCCAATACATTATGAACGCCACTCTAACAAGTATCAGAATTTTCAAGCTGGGTCTATTGTTTTCAATACCATACGGTACCGATAGTGTTGGTTCCTGGGGTCTTTGGAAGAGTCTTGTTCCCAAACAATCCACACGAGGGTAGAGCATTCTTTCTGTGATCTTCGTCGAAACGAGTGGCGACTGATCCACCAACCAAGCTGATGCCGGTTTATGCACTATGCTGTATAATTTGTTGGGTTGGTTGCCAACGGCTGGCTTTCAGTGGGAGCTTGATTATTCTCCTCGCCAACAGGAGGCAATGCACAGCATTTCACAAGCAAGGGTTCTGCACCTCCAACTACGAGGCCCACCACAAGAAGAAGTCCAAATACTGTTGCAAGGAGGTCCTCTTTTTCGCAAGGGCAAGGGTCGACCTCTTCTTTGACCAAACCAAGATAATCACAGATGAAGTATAAAACGGCAGCGGTGATCATCAAATAAGGTCCCCACTCCTTGACCTTCTCTTGCAGGTGGAGAGAGCAGCGACTAATCAAGACTTTGAAAGCAATATAAGTGAATCCACCAATAGAGAAACTAACAAAAATAACGAGACCATTTAGAAAGCAGTTACATGCATCAGCAGTGGGGTCCTCAGCCTCGGCAGCAGTTCCGACGGCTTGCGCTGTTATTACAAGTACCAAGAAAGACAGCAAACGCAACATCTTGTATTTGCTCGCTTGGCTTGAAGAATTGCTGCAGCCTCAGACTATATATGAAGTGGGTTACTAGCTAGCTACTAGCTAGCTGCCGGATCGATGTGGTTTCCGATGAGCAAAACTGCAATCGATGGCTTGATCCTTGGACTTTTGCTCTTGGTCCATTCTTTTTCGCTGTGGCTGTCTGCTGCTCTGGCTGATGAGTGAGGTTCTGGCATTCAGTAAACCGGTACGCCAAAAAACTTGAGGCTTACCTCAGACATTAGATATGCTGAAAAGCTGAGCGATCGGCGACTGAGTGACGGTCGAGGCAGTGGATTCTTTGTGTGTCCCTTTGTGTTCTCTCATGGGAAGGCCAGTGTGGGTAGAAGGTAGCAGCAATCGAAAGCAAAGTAATTGCGGCGCAGAGAATCTTGCCTGCTGCTGAGACTGACCAACTTGATTCGAAAGATAGCGAACCAAACTGCGTCTATTGACAATGGCGTCGACCAAGAATGATCGTCTCACTGGGGCCACTCCGTTCTACACCATGAACCTTGTCAATTCGGCAATGTTTTCCATCTTGCCAGGGATCTATGTGGTTGCTTCGCTCCTGTACGGTTTGGTGTTTGGAGCTCCCAAGATCAATTTGGTAAAGACGGCACAAGAAGCCTCATCCAATCCACGTCGAACAGCAGTGATAACAGGGAGCAACGCTGGCATTGGTTTTGCAACGGCCCGTCAGTTGGTGTTGCACCACAATGTGGATGTTATCTTGGCGTGTCGGTCGCGGGACAGGGCCATCCAAGCTGCCGAACGCATCAATGCAGAAGCGCAAGTGACACCAGGAGTCTTGTCCAGAGCTGTATTCTTGCACCCCTGTGATTTGAGCAGCCTGGCATCGGTTCGACAATTCGCCACGGCGTTGAAAGAAAAGTACGATACCTTGGATATTCTCATTTGCAATGCCGGTGTCAATTCCAGTGTCGTCGAAGGAAACAGAACTGTGGATGATTTGGAACTGATTTTCCAATGCAATGTGCTGGGCCATTTTTTGTTGATCCAATTGCTACTGGATCTCTTTCCAAAAGAGTCGGGACGGATTGTGACACTATCCTCTGTAGCACATCATTTGGTACCCAGCACGGCCTCGTTCGATGAGAGCTATTGGCGACAATTGGCGGAAGGTTCTGCTGGTGCCATCCCTGTACCATACTTGGGAGCTCTCATTGAGGACTCTGTGCAGACCTATCCGCCCTCCAAATTGGCAGCCTTGCTATTGGCAGTGGAATTGAACCGACGCTTTTACGATTCTGGTGATGATAAGAACACAAGACAAATACGGGCATTTGCAGTGAATCCTGGAGCTGTGGCCAGCAATATCTGGAGAAGCTTCCCATGGATTGCTCAGATGGTCATGCAACGAATTTTCCTCTCGACCGATCAAGGATGCGCCACAACAGTGGCAGCGGCTGTAGGCGAACATGACAAGGATGTCCTTTACTTACAGCCATACTGGCTCCCGGGGTCCAGCAACAACAAGGCACCGTTTCCAGTGTTCGAAATGATGGGTCCTTTCGTGGGATACAATGTTACCCAGCCCAGACTGCCACTGGATGGAGGTGTCTTTGCTGCAAAGTCGCTATGGAATGTATGCGAAGAAAAGATCATTGGATGCACGAAGGAATAGATTGCTAAAAGCGGGTGTCCCAATGGGGGGCTACACCTACGGAAACGGGGGAATTCTACACTGCATAAATAGATTTGATAGCCAAAGCATAGCTCATCTAGATGGCACGCTGCAAACAATAGATTTTGAGAAAGAAAGCTTTTGCACAAACCAGTATTGTTGTTTCCTGCGTTGGGACCTTCAGCTGTGATGCCAACCACGCTGGACAGGAAGGAGTCTTCTGAGGCGACGATTGAATCATTTGTCTGCCATGAAGAGGAAGAGCCTTTGTTTTGATCCGATTAAATTCAATTCGTGCAGAGGCCACCAGCCTCGAACGATATACCGGAGCAAAGACGAATGCTTCGATTGAATCGAATCATCCTAACGTCGTTCGAGTTGCGTACTACGAGTAAGGGCTGCGGTGGGTTCGTCGGCCCGACCCAGCCACCGCGGAAACCATAAAGAAAAGGAAGATTATCTCGCAACGGACAGTACCGTAGACTATCAGATGCTGGGCGAGAGAGGAGTCCCTCATATATGCGTATTGGTACGGTGAGGTTTATGCGGCGCCTTTCT